ATGGTAACAGTTTGAAATAAATAGTAGATTATTAACGCCGATTTCTCCTCTCGGTAAAGCAAGTATCTTTTAATCCTTTACACCAGGTAATCGTCAGATAGCTTTCCTAACGGCCCTGTTTGATATTTACCCCGAGACACGTATATCCCATTAGCGCGCCGGATTCTTGGCTCGGACATGTTTGTAGGGAAAGGAGAAATTCGCTGACCCTGCGCCTCGCCAGGTCACGGGCCCGTCCCCTGCGCTCCCCTCCTTGAGTTTCCTGTCCTCTTCCTGGCGGGCGCCTTCGTGCGCACGACGGTGGCCGCAAACGGCGTGCAAACAACTTTCGAGACAAAGAATGAGTGTAAAGCGTTTATTGGGTTTAATCATATTTTCTCTAGCTGTCTGTGAGCAGTAAAACATTTTTGAACAACAGTCCCATTTACTTTGGCTGTCTCTGAACAGTAAATCGCCTTTTTAGGTAATAATCCTATTTCGTTTATCAACCAGTAGACGTAAATTACATTCGAATCTATTCAGACATTCTTTTCTCGTAAGGCCTTTGCTTTGCGCATTCTGTGTCGTGGGAAGCGCATTCCCTCAGACCCCGACAATGATCTGTTATCCTGCCGACTACAGCTGATCTGCGGCAGAAATGGGCCTTGCTTCCCCATTTGCAGGTTTCTCTTCTTATCATTTTTGTGGAAGATCTACTTTGGTCTACTTCGCAAATCGGGAAACGAGTAAAACATATATATAGATAGAAAACATATATAGTACTAGGTGAGAGTAGTCGGTGTACGACTCTGTCTGTCAACTGATTTGTAAACAAATCCTGCGTAACATCTCTTAAGTTAGTGTTACCAAGAAAAGTCATAGCAACGGAGTAGGTTGAGGAATTGTCTCTGTTGTAGCATTCCCACTCGACTTCCCGTCGTGGATAGCTGTAGATATGTCTTACCTACTGATTATGGACAGACTTGTGTGTGTCTGTGTTCTTGTTTGTGAGAGAGAGAGAGAGGGAGAAAGGGAGGGAGGGAGGAAGTGAGTGAGTGGGAAAGAAGAGAGTGAGAGGGAAAGAAGAGAGTGAGAGGGAAAGAAGGGAGTGAGAGGGAAAGCAGAGAGAGAGAGAGGGAAAGAAGAGAGAGAGAAATAGAAGGAAGAGAGAGAGAGAGAGAGATAGAGAAGGAAGAGAGAGAGAGAGAGAGAGAAGGAGAGAGAGAGAGAGAGAGAGAGAGAGAAGGAAGAGAAAGAGAGAGAGAGAGAAGGAAGAGAAAGAGAGAGAGAGAGAAGGAAGAGAAAGAGAGAGAGAGAGAGAGAAAGAAGAGAGAGAGAGAGAGAGAGAGAGAGAGAGAGAGAGAGAAGGAAGAGAGAGAGAGAGAAGGAAGAGAGAGAGAGAAAGGAAGAGAGAGAGAGAGAGAAGGAAGAGAGAGAGAGAGAGAAGGAAGAGAGAGAGAGAGAGAAGGAAGAGAGAGAGAGAGAGAAGGAAGAGAGAGAGAGAGAGAAGGAAGAGAGAGAGAGAGAGAGAAAGAGAGAGAGAAGGAAGAGAGAGAGAGAGAGAGAGAGAGAGAGAGAGAGAGAGAGAGAGAGAGAGAGAGAGAGAGAGAGAGAAGGAAGAGAGAGAGAGAGAGAAGGAAGAGAGAGAGAGAGAGAGGGAAGAGAGAGAGAGAGAAGGAAGAGAGAGAGAGAGAGAGAGAGAGAGAGAAGAGAGAGAGAGAAGGAAGAGAGAGAGAGAGAGAGAGGGAGAGGGAGAGAGAGAGAGAGAGAAGGAAGAGAGAGAGAGAGAGAGAAGGAAGAGAGAGAGAGAGAGAGAGAGAGAGAGAGAGAAGGAAGAGAGAGAGAGAGAGAGAGAGAAGGAAAGAAAGAGGGAGAGAGAGAGACGAGAGACGAGACGAGAAGAGAAAAAGAAGGAAAGAAAGAGGGAGAGAGAGAGAGAGAGAGAGAGAGAGAGAGAGAGAGAGAGAGAGAGAGAGAGAGAGAGAGAGAGAGAGAGAGAGAGAAGGAAAGAAAGAGGGAGAGAGAGTGAGAGAGAGAGAGAGAGAGAGAGAGAGAGAGAGAGAGAGAGAGAGAGAGAGAGAGAAGGAAAGAAAGAGGGAGAGAGAGTGAGAGAGAGAGAGAGACGAGACGAGAAGAGAAAAAGAAGGAAAGAAAGAGGGAGAGAGAGAGAGAGAGCGTGTATTGTTCTCTCTTGTGCATGTTCATTACGTGCCAGGAACGAGAGAGAGAGAGAGAGAGAGAGAGAGAGAGAGAGAGAGAGAGAGAGAGAGAGAGAAGGAAGAGAGAGAGAGAGGAAGAGAGAGAGAGGAGGAAGAGAGAGAGAGAGAAGGAAGAGAGAGGGAGAGAGAGAGAGAGAGAGAGAGAGAGAGAGAGAGAGAGAGAGAGAGAGAGAGAGAGAGAGAGAGAAGGAAGAGAGAGAGAGAGGAGGAAGAGAGAGAGAGAGAAGGAAGAGAGAGAGAGAGAGAGAGCGTACATTGTTCTCTCTTGTGCATGTTCATTACGTGCCATTTAGCGTGCATGATTATGAGTTCTGAGTAACTACAGATGTATAAAGTAAATGTTCAGTGCCAGTTGCATGAGGACGTGCCTTAGAGCCAGTTAAGCGGGGTATACCTATAGCGACGTGTTCAGAGAGTAAATTAGGATTATGGCAATTCAGCCAAGTTCGTGCTACACCGTGAATGCTTTTCGATCAGCGGGGCTACTGAGTTAGTTTTATGTTTGACAAGGGAATTGACTGTCACTTCTTCTTGACGCGGGATGAATTTAGTTTCTTTAAAGGGAAAGGGAAACAAATCCTCCGGTTTTAAATCAGTCTCAGATGCAGTTCTCTAAAGTCATGTTACTGCGATTAAAGCCACTTCATGTGACTGCAGGATTCCACTACTAGTCCTCAGGTACTGAGGGGGACAGACTACACGGGATAATGGAGTTGATATTTTTGTATGAGTGTACCACGGCACTCCCTACACATGGGATATATCTTTGTGTTCCTATAGACAGTATTTCACATAGCTTTAAGTGTGGCGTTATATATTTAGGTCCTCCGTGCAAATAGGGTAAATTGACCCCAGGTCCTCCGAAATCCCAGTAATAAGCGTTCGGCATGAGAGACCCCGATAAGACTGGCTCTCACGGGTTTCCAGCGAGAGAAGATTCGTGAAATGATATCACTGTAAACGCACCTCACTCCTCCCACGCCCTCCTTGTGTTCCGTCCAGATCACCCGAATGCCTGGCCGATGCAGCCGATAAGCGTCCAGGAACAGAGCGGCGAATCCCGTCGATTTGCTGATAAGCGCCGCGCGGCCTCCAGGCGTCGAGGAGCTCGTTAAGGGCCCTCGAGCAAAGAGTTAGAAGGATGCAGCCCGGAGAAGAAGTGCGCCAGGTGTTATTGCCCATATGTTCTGAAATGCTGTGTACCAGTGTTCACAGAAATCAGGGGTGAACACTGATCTGATTGTTTCTTTAACCTTAGCAACTCCCGAGGAGTATATTGAACTTCTACATAACAGTCGGTCGCCATGATCAAAGACTTAATTCACAAAATGATCATACGTTGCGCTTCCCTTTAATCAAAGCAGAGTCTGGAGGTACAGTCGAGTCAACTAGTATAAAACTTTGGGTGAAAAACAAAGGTACCTCGGGACGGGACGGACGCTTAGAGCTGTGTTATTGTCACTTGATGTACAAGTAGACATGGATATGTAGGGCACGGTTTATGGCAATCCTGATGTGTGATTGAAGTTTTAAACATTGAAATGTCTGATTTTGAGTTTAAGTTTAAAATCAAGATGGTTGATATTGTATTTTTAACAGAGAGTCGTCTCCTGCGGAATCGTAGGAGGCAGCCATCCTAGACACTGATTTGCTGATTTGCCTTTCCGGTTTAACCGAGAGTGACTGATATGATTGGTTTTTGCTTCCAGATGGAGAATCCGGCGTTCCTGGACAGCGACCAGTCCGTGTACGAGAGTGTGCGAGGGACGCCCCAAGCCATGTCGCAGCGACGGCCTCACCACCTGCCCGCCATCCACCATGCTCACACTCACTCCCCCCGCGGCGTCGGCGTCCCCCATCACGTGGCCCACGTCCACAACGGCCGGATGATCGGCGTGACGGGCGTGCCGGGCCCCATGGTGGTGCCGGGCACCGTGGTGCAGGTGTCGGGCGTTCCCGCCGCGTCAGGAGGGACGCACAACACCCTGTACCCGGACCCTTCCCTCCCGCCCCTCTACCCCGCCCACCTCGCTCCGCACGCCCGCGTGGCCCAGGCTGAGCCCATGTACTCCTGCCAGGCTCCCCGGGGCCACGACCACGTCTATCAGTGTCCCGGCCACAGGGGGGACCACTTCGACCACCGCGATCACCACCTGGACCCCCGGGGGGACCCCCGGGACCGCCTCGGCCCTCGGGACCACCACCTGGACCCCCGCGAGCACCACCTCGAGCCCCGCGAGCACCACCTCGAGCCCCGCGAGCACCACCTGGACCCGGCGCTGGACCTGCGTCCGGACTACCACTACGGCGGCAGCGACTACTCCAGCACGGAGCCCATCTACGCCCAGCCGCACCTGTACCCCCGCGAGGCGGGATCCGGCACGCCCACCCTAGGCTACAGCAACACGCGGGCGTCGCTGCGGGCGGGCTCCGCTGCGTCCTCGCAACTCTCCGCGGCGGGGACGCCGGCCAAGTATCTCACCCACTCCGACTCCTGCGGCAACTCCACCTCCTCCTCCACCCTGCCCACTGTATCCGCCCTGCTAGCAAGAGAAGCCGCCCATAACCCGCCCACGCCCACACATACCAACACGTCCTCTCAACGCTCTTCGGCGCGCCACGGCAAGGGCGAAGTCGCTTCCACGCCCGCGAAGTTGAAACGCCAGGGCTTGTTCCGGGCGTGGAGAGTGAAGTTCCTGCGCGGGGAAGGTGGGCGGCGGCGGGCGTGCCTCCTGCTGGCCGCCCTGCTCTTGGTCATTCTGCTAGTCCTGGGTGCGCTGGCGGCCGTCCTCTACATCACGC